TTCAGTATCCCTGCCAAAAAAACTTCAAATGGGTTCGTGAAGAGTCAGACACAAGTGCAACAACTCAACAACAACACAAGCTGATTCCACTGCTAACATCCCCTCACATATACACACACATACACGTCAGCATTATTAACCACCTCCTTTCTCCATTATGAAAGAGGCAGCGTGATTCAGTGCATTTGTATTAAATTCAAATGGAAATTCAAATCAAAATTAAATTCAGGCAGAAAATTCAAAGAAAACATACATAAAGATTGCCCTCATACTGATCTCATATTGACTTAGAAAAACACATAGTAATATTATCTATGTCCTAGCATATGTTTATTTATTTTGTTAAATCTTTCCATATTACATTTTAATCTGGCCCTATATTTGACACCTCTGGTGTAGTGATTAGAGTGCTGGACTTGGAGTTAGGAAGACGTGTGTCTAAACCATGAAATCGTGCCTTACTAAGTGGTGTGACTGTGGGTAAGTCATTTAATATCTTTAAAATGAGAGGAGGGTTCATTTGATGACCTCAACCCTTCCTTTGATGACCTTTGAGTCCCTTCCATCCCTGAATCTATTATTTCCTACCCCGCCACCACCACCACTGAGAGGTGAAGGAGAGTTCTAGAACTGCATGACTCCTCACATGTTCTGATCATCATATAACCTTGTCTACCACAGAGCATTGTCATGGCTATCTCCTAAGGGAGGAGCACTCTGCTATATTCTTTTCATGAATCAGAGGAAGCTAGGGAATTGAGCCTCACAAGAGAAACTTCAAGGCTGGGCCTACCCAGGAGGCATGAATGAAAAGCTAAAGAGTTAAACTGTCAATGGAGACTGAGGAATTCCTCCCCAATAAAGATATGAACAAGTCTGACTATTTCAAACATGCAAACTCTTAATACTTTTTAGGCTTCATTTGGCCTGAATTATCCATATAATTTTCTGAGCTATCCATTTCACTTTGCATAGACACAGCCTAACGGTCATCACTACAAGAAATAACAATAGGATAGTATATGAGCCAGGATTTGATCAATTTTAAAAGCATGTGAAAATGAGTCTTAGCAACTGTAATAGCAATACAAATAATTCCTTGTGACTAGTTATTTGTGATGATATTACTATAATGTAGCCAGTTTTTAAAACCTGCTACATGCCAAATTCTTTGATTTTCAAAATGTCCCTGACTACATTACCTCATTTGCTTCTTACATTAACCCCATGAGGCAGAGCAGGTATTATACCCATTTTACAGATGAGGTTTAGCAAAGTTAAATAACTTGTATAGTGTCACATAGGTAGGAAGGGACACATCCAAGATTCAAACTTTGACCCCTAATCTACCATGATGAAGAGCCATAAGGCTCCTAGAAAGAACTTTAGCAGCCATCTTGTCATGCTTTCCCAGGTCACATTCACACTATGTTTGCTCAATTCCAATGTAATTCCAAAAGCTGATGGAAGGGAAATAAAATCAAGATTTATGCTATATGGGGTATGCTAGTGTGTCTAGATCCTGAGGTCGGGAGAATTTCATTATCTTGGCTTTTGTCTGTGACCTATGAGAGAGGACAAGTATGTTGGAATGGAGGGAGAGAGCGCATATGCTTTTGAAGCATCTAATTGTAGCAACACAGAAACACTGAATGAACTTCACATTGAAAATGTTGTCGGTTCTCCTCCAAAGCCCTGCAGTGTTAAAAAAAAACTGGGCAAAAAATAGAAGGCCGAGCAAAGGCTGTTGTTTCCCTGATGTTCCTGGAAGCCAGCTCCCAGCTCTTGGCAGAGCCTCATGGCTGAGCTTGAGCTGAAAACTGGGAAGCAAATGAATGACATACATCTCTCACAATGAAAATCAATTTCGTGTTTTGCATCTTCTACAGTCTTGTACCAGAATGCTGCTGATTTGTTTCTTTCTTTAAATGGAAAGCCCTCCAGGGAAGTTTTGTGTACCCTAAACAAGATCTCTGTAGGATCAGATAATAGGGTTCTTGTGGCTTTAATACAAAATAGACAGAGGCAAACGTGTTCACACAGATTAGAAGTTAATCAGCTGAGACATCTTCCTTCAGTGAGACACATATTGTAAATATAACTGGCGTTATCTCTACTATTACTCTTTGCTATTTCTCCATTGCTTTTTGAGAGTTCCTTCCTTCTTTCATTCTCTCCTTCCTTCCCTTCCCTCCCTCCTTTCTTCTTTCCTGCCTTCCAAGAAATCAACCTGAGAAAACACATGTGTTTTCCATAAATATTTGTCTAAATGAGTTCCATTTTTAAATTGCATGTTCTTTAAAGCTGACACGTGGAAGAAAAAGTATGGAGATGATTATCACGGATTTTATTTGAATGTTCTTAGAGGATCTGATGGAGGAAAGTCTCTCTGATCCATAAAGATGAATAGAAAATGTTTAGGTGACCCAAATTGAATCAGCCTAAGTAGAATTGACACCCAGGAAACTGTGTCCTCTGAAGATGACCAAACTAGTGCTTTGGAGGCAAAAGGGACTGGATTTTTAAAGTCCCTCACTACTCCCTACTAAGGGCAACCTGACCTGTCTGTCAGCTTATGCTTTCTTGACAGCCATGGCCCCAGCCCAGGAACAGGAGGAAGTGAGCCAATCAGTAGGCGAAAAGAGGGCTCAGGCAGTGTGGTTGAAATAAGAGGACAAGTTTGAGGAGGGAATCAGTGCCTTGAAAGTGGTAGGGAATTCATGCCTAGATATTGCAAAATCAGTCTTGTTGCCTTCTTACGATCCAGATTTAATTTTTCAGTTTGAGAACTGGTCTGATCCTTTAACTTTCTCCCTTCTGCCTCTAGTCATCTGCTTGGAGAAGTTAGCTCTTCTATGAGAGGGAACCAACCAAAAAATTAAATGTCTGAACTAAAAACAGTTAACTTTGCTACAGGTTAGCAGCTGTAACAAGAGTTTGAGAGAGGAAAAGGAAACTGCTAGGTGAAATGATTTTGTTCTGGGATTCTGGTTATCTATGCTGCCTGCCTCTCATTACCACAAACAACTGAATAAACATAGGTACCACATAAGGATACATATGAAACAGACGCTGAATTGGCCTTTAGGGGTTGTCCCATGAAACATATTCAGAATGATCATTCCTGGCTCTGGTTGACCACGTAGCAGCCTTGGGTCCTGCTTCTGGCCACGTGTGACTCAAAGGGCTTACACTTTGAAATGTTGAAGAGTCCCCCAGTGGGCAGAGGAGTCGGCAGAGCTGATGTCTAGGTGGATATATAAAAGGAAGTGACTCTGCACTCAGCTCTTCTTCCTTTCCAGATGCAAATTGTGTCTGGACTCATTTGAGCACTTCCCAAGGGGTAGATGGGCCCCTTGGGAATAAGCAGCTTGGCCTATGCCTCATACGACAATGAGAACCTGGCATCCAAAACACATCCTTTCTAGGAAAGCCTGAGATGAGGGTTGAACTGCTTCTTTTATGTTTCTTCTTCCTGATCTTAACTGAAATAGCATCTATCCCCAACATAAACATATTGAATCTCGGAGGTGCTCTCGTGAGTACAAAAGGTCTGGATTTTTTTATTCCCATCAGGTGATTCTCCCCTGAATGGCAGCGGGGGAAAAATCCCTGGCAACTACTCCAATTGTCCAGGTGGAGAAGATGGTGTTTGACAAGAAGCTTGGCCCCAGTCTGGCTGTTCTACTAGGAAACATGTACTGAATTGGGAATTGCTTGGACAGTGAAGAGCCCAGGTGAAATGTAAAAGGCCTAATTAGCAGTCATACAAACTGCTTTATGTTTTGATGAGGTCTAAATATCTTATTCTCAATAGGCTGCAATAATAGTTTTAAGTTAAATTACTGAATTCTGTTCTGAGTTTGTTTTGGTCAAATGCACCCTTGTGAATATCCTGTGTTTAGCATTCCTTTTGTGTGTAGGAATATCTGTCTCATACCTGATTTATATTATACATTATTCAGTCATTTTCAGTCATGTCTGATACTTCATGACCTCATTTGTTTTTTTTATTTTAAGCTGTCATTTAGTATTTTATTTTCCTCAGTGACATGTAAAAATAATTTTTAACATTCGTTTTTAAAACTTTGAGTTCAAGTTCTCTCTCTTCCTGCCTCTCTACCTCCCCCCATTGAGAAGGCAAGCATGTATAGTCATGCAAAACATATTCATAATAGTCATGTTGTAAAAGAAAACATAGACAAGAAAAAAAAAACTCAAGAAAAATAAAGAAAGTAAAAAAAAGTATGCTTCAATCTGTATTCAGAAACCATCAGTTCTTTCTCTGGGGGTGGATAGCATTTTTCATCATAAGTCCTTCAGATCTGTCTTGGAAAAAAAAAGGAAAAACAGAGTTGTCTTGGATTGTTGTATTTCTGAGAATAGCTAAGTCATTCACAGCTGATCATCTTACAATATTGCTGTACAAAGGTACACAGCACATTTCACTTTGCATCAGCTTATGCAAGTCTTTCCAGATTTTTCTGAGAGCATTCTGCTCGTCATTTATTACAACACAATAATATTCCATCATAATCACATACCACAACTTGTTCAACCATTCCCCAATTGATGGGCATCTCCTCAACTTCTAATTCTTTACCCCCAGAAAAGAACTGCTATTGTACATGTAGGTCCTTTTCCTTTTTGTTTTTAATCTCTTTTGGGATACAGACCTAGTAGTGGTCGCCTTATTTGCTAGGTCAAAGGGTATACATGATTTTATAACCCTTCGGGCATAGTTTCAACTTGCTTTACAGAATGGTTGAATCCATTCCCAACTCTACCAACAGTGCATTAGTCTTTTTTTCCACATCCCCTCCAACATTTGTCATTTACCTTTTCTACCCTATTAGTCAATTTAATAGGTATGAGATAATACTGTAGCACCTCAGAATTGTTTTAATTTGCATTTATCTAATCAATAGAGTATTTTTCATATGGCTATAGATAGTTTTGATTACTTCATCTGAAAACTGATCATATCTTTTGATCGTTTAAAAAATATGGAACACTTCATAAATTTGCATGTCGTTCCTGCTCTGGGGCTAATCTTCTCTCTATTGTGCCAGTTTTACTACATATGCTGCCAAAGCGAGCACTCATTTGGGGTTTTCTTGGCAAACGTACTGGAGCGGTTTGTCATTTCCTTCTCCAGCTCATTTTACAGATGAGGAAACTGAGGCAAACAGGGTTAAGTGACTTGCCCAAGGTCACACAGTAAGTGTCTGAGGCCAGATTTGAACTCAGGAAGATGAGTCTTCCTCACTCCAGGCCCAGCACGCTATTCACTGTGCCCCCTAACTACCACTGAATATCTTTTTATTTCCCCATTTTGAGGAGAATAAACCACAATATAGACATCAGCCCTAACTTAAGCTATAAGTATCTTTGTCCCTGGGTGCTAAGGGTGCCAAAAGTATGAGAAAGAAGAGCTTAACATCTCTTATTAGAGGCCAGGCTCCCTCATTATCGAATCAAGTCTAAACTACACGCCCTCATCCATAACAAGGAATGGGAATAGTACTTCATCACCTTAGGCCCAGAAGTGGTTCCTCAGTGTTAAATGTCCTTTTTTCTACCCACAGGTTCATTTATATTGTCCATCTACTTTCTCACTGTGTCAGAGAGCAACCGCATGAACTGCAATAGACCAAACTTAGGGGTTTTTAAAGATGTTTGGCTTGCAGTGTGAGGTCTAAATAAGAGCTGTTGGTTACAGTTATAAAATTTACTCCAGGTGGCATCAAGTCATAACTGCCCTCATACTCAACCCAAAATATCCAAAGGATGACTAATACAAGATGGTTTAAAGGAGCACCTAAATTCACTTAAACCCCCAAGTCCGTGTTTAAAAAACAAAACAAAACAAAACCTGGACTATTTCCACCTGCCTTCAAGAATCCTAGAAGACACAATAATAATTGCTAATATTTATATAGTGCCTACTATTTGCAAGGCACTGTGTTAAATACTTTACAGATGATATTACATTTTATCCTCACAATAATCCTGGGAAGCAGGTGTTATTATCCCCATTTTACAGATAGGAAAACTGAGGCAAACAGAGGTTAAATGACTTGCCCAAAGTCACAGAGCTAAATATCTGAGGCTGGATTTGAACACAAGTCTTACTGACTCCAGACCCAGTGGCAGATCTAGATCCACCTAGCTGCTGCTAGCAATGCCTTCTCTAAATCTTCTTCCTTAGATTTCTTTCTCCTTTTTGATTGACTCTGTTCTGTTTCAGAAGGACATTGAATGATGATGAATCAGATCTATTAAAGCTGATGTCAGTGAAGAGGAGAAAAAAGGACAGAAAATAAAAACAGTGTTATTGCTACTTCTGCCTTTTTCTGATCCCTCTACAACAGGACAGACCAAGTCTATACAGGCTAATAATTAGATAGGACAAGTATTTGGATTATTCTTCAAACCTTTTATTCCTGCCAGCCAACAGTTACTTGGCCTTCTCTCCTTCCCAAATAGCCAGGATATTGTTTGCTGTGGCCCTAAAAAGATGAAATGAACCAAAATTGAAGAGTTGTAACATTTGGAATTAATGTGCTTTTCTTTTGAACCAAATTGTCATATCTCTTTCTTTTTAAAAGGTTTAAAGCAACATCAAGGGAATCATTTGCCAGAGTCCAGAAAAAAGTTCCTCTTTCCACACAGTAGATTATTTTAAGTTGGGTTTTTCTACCTGCATAGTAAAGGAGCAGATGCAACATACAGTATTAGTGAGCATGCACCCAACTGGATCCTGCTAGAGTTGGGACATCATAGAATTATAGATTATTAGCACAAAAAAAAGAACCTTATAGACTATATAATCCCAACTTCTTTGGACAGAGGAAAAAACTGAGACCCAAGGAAATCTAAGACTTGGTGACTACCATTAATAAGTTTAAAATCACTAGACTTGATGGCGCACTCCTGCAATCCCTGCTACTGAGGGGGCTGAACCTGACGGATCATTTGAGCTGGGATGTTCTGAAATGCAGTGGGCTAAGCCGATCAGGTGTTCATACTAAATCTGGCATTCATGTGGTGAGACCTCTGGGAGCAAGGGGACAACAAGCTGCCTAAAAAAGGATGAACCAGTCCAGATCGGAAATAGAGCAAAAAATTTCCCATACTGATCAGAGTGGGACCAGGCCCATGAGCAGCTCCTGCATGTCCAGCATAGGTCTCCCTTTATCTCTTTTTAAGGCAAGTGGGGTTCAGTGACTTGCCCAGGGTCACACAGCTAGGAAGTGTCAAGTGTTTGGGCTGAGGTCACATTTGAATTCAAGACTCCAGGACCGGCGCTCTATCCACTGCGCCACCTAGCTGCCCCTAGTTCTCCCTTTATCTCCAAAAAAAAAAAAAAAAGGGAGGTGAAGTAGGAAGAGAAAGAGGAGGAGGAAGAGGAAGAGGAGGAGAAAATGGTGAATTTTAAAATTTTGTTAACAAGGGAAAACTAAAATACATATATATATATATATATATAATTGTTAAAATTTGTAGTACAAAATAAACTTTATAGGAATTCATGAAAGGATGAGACTAATAAGGTGAAATTTCATAGAAGATATGGAATTTGACCAGAACCCTGAAGGATAGAGAGGATTTGGGTAAGCAATGAGGTATGACTTTCTAAGTAGAATGATCAGAATAAAATAATTGGTCATGTAGCTTAATTGATACTTGAACAAGGAACCCTTCTACAATGTAGCTAGCAAATAATATTCAACCTTTGCTTGAAGACCTCTGGTGAGAGGAAAACTACCATGTCCCATGGTAACCTATTTCCTCTCTGCAACTTCTGCCCTCTAGTTTTCCTAGTTTTCTGCCCTCTGAAATGAGGCATTTCTCCTCCACGCGATAGCCCTCAAAATATTTGAGGACAGCTATTATGCCCCACCTCTCTTTTTCAGTAATGACTTGGAGGTAGCAATGAGCACCATAGGTGTGAGGACATAGTAAGCACCCTTTCTTGAGCCGAGTGGAGGGTTTGTATTGGAGAGCAGGAAGAAACAAAGTTGGATCGTGAAGTGAGTTCAGATTCTGAAGGCATTATTTTGAGGAGTTTGTATTTTTTTTCCTAGAGTAAAGAGAATCATTGCAATTTCTTTAGCACAGGAGCGACATGATGAAAGCAATATTTTCTTTATTAGTTTATTTTTAATTTAAATACTAAAACTTAAATGCACAATAAGAAAAGAAGAACAAACATATTATAAACTTAAACAATAAAACAAATCCAAAAGAAGAAAAGAAGAAATAAGCATTGGCATGTGCACAGCAGAAAGAACATAAGAGAAGATTCAAAATATACAGCAATAAATTTCCATTTCAAGAAAGCCTACATAGGGGCAGCTAGATGGCACAGTGAATAGAGCTCCAGCCTTGGAGTCAGGAGGACCTGAGTTCAAATCTGGCCTCAGACACTTGACACTTATTAGCTATGTGACCCTGGGCAAGTCACTTAACCCCAATTGCCTCACCAAAAAAAAACCTACATAGTAAATACTACCCATTAAGTTCAGAACTGTCCATCTTTGCTTCCCTGTAGGTTTTTGTTCTCTGCTGCATACTTTTTACTTTGTTCATTTTTCCCCCTTCTTCCCCTCCCTCCCCCAAGAAGGCTAAAATTGAGGAGACATACATATATATACATATATATATATATATGTATATATATATGTATACACACACACATAATGTATGTATGTATATATGTGTATATATACACTTGCATATACATACATATACTTAGATATCTATAATCATACTCATATATAAGCATATAGATTCATATGCATCTGTGTAAGACTGCACTATACTTGTTTGTCGTCTGAAAGCAATATTTTCAGAAGATTAATCTGGTAGCTGTGTGCAGGACCCATCACAGATGAAGAGGAATTGTAAATAGGGAAACCAGTTTAGTAGATGGCTCCAGGAATCCATATGTGGAGGTGACGAAAGCCCAGACTAGGCAAATGGCAGAGAAAATGGAGAGGAAAGAATGAATCTGGGAGATATTTCACCCACGTTAACAAAATGATTTTTACATATAAGTGTTGACCTCTTTTCAAAAATTCCCCCTCCTTCCAAACCCTATTCAAAGGTGGCCCACTTTTTGTTAGAGTTCACCCCAGTCAACAGGTTATAGAGAGTATGTGTATGTGTACTATGAAGCAACAATTTACCTTCAGAAAATGAGGGAGAACGGTGAAAAGAAAGAGTAGGAAGCTCAAGCCCCCTGCCAGCACAGTGACCCAGTTAAGGGCCCAAACAAGTGGAAGATAAAACAATTATCTGGAAATGGCCTACTCCTTCCTCCATGACCTGGGATTGTTTTTTTTAGCTCAATATTGTTTCTCCTTCTCTATGTCCCACCTCCCCCACAAATGATTTTAAAATGCCCACACCTACTCCACAAAGTTTTCACCAGGAGAAATGTAGAGGTAACTTTAGTCAGTGTAATCATAATTAAAATTAGAGGTTTCTGTAGAGTAGTGAAAAGAAAAGTAGATGAAGTCAGAAGATACAGGTTGGAGTACTTACTACCTGTGTGACCATGGGTAAGTCACTTCGCTTTCTGATCCTCAGTTTCCCCTTCTGTAAAACAAGGTTAATAATAGTTGCCCTATCGATGTCACAAAGTTATTAGGTAAAAGTAAGTTGTGAACTATAAAGTATCATGTAAATTTGAATTATTATTGTTGTTATAAATGTGAACATCTCTGATTTGTGTTTTATCGTGAGATGTGAATTTAGATTTTTGTCGTAACATTCCAGAAGGGGCCTTGAAGCAAGTTATAGAGGTCAGGATGACATCCTGATATGATTTCAGGAGTCTTAGGTGGGAGAAAGGAGACAGCAGATATCTGTGGCTAAATGCCTAATCTGATAGGAATGGGGCACAGGATGGTAGTGGGGGAACTGTTTTTCAGGAGATTAGCAGGGGACCAGAGATACAAGTAATGGAGGATAAGGACTTGACATTTGACAAGTTACAACTTTTCTGAATTTCAGTTTCCTCATTTTTAAAATGAAGTAGTTGGATTAAGTTAGATCAAGGGACCTTTTGAGCTCTAAAGTTCTTTGATTCTAC